CCACAAGCATTTCTTCTAAAGGCTTGTTTCAGTGTGCTTTGTGTCTTAAATTCCTACTGGACAGGAGGTAAGCCTTCAGAAGTCCTAGTAGCAAAGGTGAGGGAAGCATTTAAAATGTTGGATCTGCACACCTGAGCTCACAGCAGCTAAAACTCAGAAGCAAGCCCAGCATCCATGGAGGTGGGGACAGATGAACATCACATGGTCCAGGACATGGTGAAAAACTGCTCAGCCATATGCTACCAAATGATGGACCTTGAGGACACTGTGCTCAGTGAAATGAGCCAGCCACAAAAGCACACTCCTGTAGGACCCACTCACAGGAGGTCCCTAGTACTGTCAGATCACAGAGACAGGTCGGTGGGTACCAGGGCTGGGGAAGGGAGCTGGTGTTGAATGAGGAGAGTTTCAGTATAGGAAAACGGAATGTTCTGAGGGGATGTGGGGACGGCTGCACAGCCACAAGAGTGTGAATAATGCTGCCGAACTGGACACTTGAAATGGTTAAGAAACCAAATTTCATGTTGTCACCGATGATGACAAGAAAAAGAAAAATTATTTACTACAATAAATTAGAAATCGAAGGGCCCAGTGCATGAATGGTGGGCATGCCCCTGATGAAATACGCTTAGCTGACCTCAGGGAGGTGGTGGATGCAGTGAGGTTGGTGGGTTTCAGGGTCCACACCTGAGGCAAAAAGTCCACAAATGAGCCCGTATCTTCTAACTCAGTAAGAAGCTAGCTGTGGTGGCACATGCCTGTCACCCCATTTATTCAGGAGGGATGAATAGGAGGGTCGAGATCCAGGCCAGTCCTGGTATGAAGCAAGACCTTACTCAAAAAATAACTAAAGCAAAAAGGGCTGTGGAATGACTCAAGTGACAGAGCACCTGCCAAGCAAGTATGAGGCCCTGAGTTCAAATCCCAGTACCACCAAAAAAAAAAAAAAAGAATTTGAAAGAAAAAAAATAGGCTAGGGTGGAGTTGTGCTCTCCAGGTAGGGACAGCTGTTGAAAACCCAGTTACTTCTTGACATTGTTAACAGGACAACAGCACAGCTGGGGATCCTCCCCTGAAGGACAGCTGATACCTGTGGCCCCCCAGGGAGCCCCAGTGATGGAAAAACAAGCCTGGTTCTTAATAACAAAAGATAAAATATCTTTTAAAAATCACTCAGCACATCAGAGAGCAGGAGACTAAACCATAATGTAATCCTCTTCTGAATATTTTGATTAAAATAAATATAGAAATAAATCCACAGAGGAATGTCTTAAATTACATCTCAAGACACAAGAGCCCAGAACATTTTAAACAAGCACCTACATTTGGAGAGGTCTGCTGGAAAAAGCACATTTCTTTACTTTTCTCTAATTTTTTTTTTTTTTTTGAGATGGGGTCTCGCTATGTTTTCCTGCCTCAGCCTCCCAAGGAGCTGAGACTACAGCTGCCCAGCAAAGACTACTTATTCTTCACCCTCACACCCCAGCTAGGAGGAACTCTGCTGTTTCTAGGAAGGCACTCTACCACTTGAGCCACACCTCCAACCTTTCTGCTGTTTCTAAAATAGAATGGGCACCCCCTCCCTCCAGAAAAGAAATGTTTTTGTGTATACATGTTGCAGAGAATTGGTGCAAACCCCATCTCTGGGTTTATTTAGCTGTGTGACCTTGGATAAGTGAAGTAACCTCTCTGATCTCTAAAAAGAAGATACTCATACTTACTCCCTTGCAGCTAGCTATGCACTCATAACTCAGTAGGAACTAAAAATCATGTCCAACCCTCTCCATTAATGAACTTACCTACTTCCCATCTCAAACTTCACCTAGATCACCACCCCCTCCCTACTTATGCTGCCCCCTCCTCAGCAGTTTCCCTGTTCTGCAAAATTCCAAACCCACAGCCTACACTTTCTCCAAGAATTTACTCCAACAGTGAGCACAGAGGTGGTCATTTAGCTTCTCTTTGTCCCTCTTGTCAATCAGCATGCTCAGGATTTTCCCACAATAATCATTTTGTCCTCCCCCATATCTCCTCTCTGTCCCACCTGCCTTTCTCAGCTCTCTCACCTCCTATGCCCACCACCTGGCCACACACCACAAAAAATCCCCAGGATTCTAGTCAGGACACGTTCAGCCCAGCCCATGCGGCTTTCCCATCGCTTTGGGCTCATGTGAAAAGACCCTCCTTCCTCCCCTCCCTTACCTTTTATGTTACAATCCATAAGCCTCTCTTCTCTTCTCTTCTCGTCTCTTCTCTTTTCTTTTCTCTCTCCCTCCCTCCCACTCTCTCTCTCTCTCTCCCTCCTTCATCTCCTGTTCAGTTCTTCTCCCCAGGAACATTACAAGTGAAAGAGGTAAGGAAAGCGATAAACAGGTAATGAACAGTGTGTCGGACCGCCTTCTCAGATAACAAAACCTTATAATGCTAGAGCCTGGGACAGAAACGTCCTATATGCAAAGACAGGCAAACAGAAAGGGACCCCGAAGCACAGAGACCCCCTCTAGTTACATGGGAAAGAATGGGCGCCCCAGTGAACCACACGCAGAGAGCCCATGGGCTGAGAAGGAAAGCTTTTCAAAATGGTAATAAATAAAATAGGAATACTGGAGTACTGAATTCATCTTAAGGATTGAAAGGCTTATAAATGAGCAGAAAGTACAAAGGGCAGGCAAAAATCTGGCTGTGCAGGATCTATGCATGTATGAAAATAGCACAGTGAAAGCCATTAAAACTATAAAAAAAAAGTGGGGGGGAGAGGTAGGAAGAGGGATAAGAGAATAATAAAGGGGCAAATTTGTTCAGTGTACTTTATATGCATGTATGGAAATATCACAATGAAACCCTTTTGTACAATTAATATATACTAATAAAAAAATCTAGCTCTAGGCTGGGCACAGTGCTCACACCTGTAATCCCAGCTACTTGTGAGGCAGAGATCAGGAGGACTGTGGCTTGAGGCCAGCCCAGCCAAATAGTTAACAAGACTCCCATCTCAACCAATAAAAGCAGGATGTGGTGGCACACACCTGTCATCCTAGGTACACAGGAAGTGTAATTAAGAAGATCACAGATGGCACCAGTGGCTCACACCTATAATCCTTGCTACTTAAGATGGCAGAGATAAGGAGGATTGTGGTTCAAAGCCAGCCCAGGCAAATAGTTCATGAGACCCTATCTCAAAAAAAAAACCATCACAAAAAAGGGCTGGTGGAGTGGTTCAAGGTGTAGGCCCTGAATTCAAACCCCAGTACCACAAAAAAAAAAAAAAAAAAAAAAAAAAAGCCCAAAGGTAAATCAACATGTTTTATGAGGTGCAGTCCTGATGGCAAACACATGCAATACAGGACAACACAGGCCCTCCCCACCCGAGTCCATGATGAAAGGTTTGTCCTAACGGCTCTCAGAGTCGGTCCCTCCAGCCAGGCTCAGCGGCACAGTGGCACAGTGTTTCCAGACAGCCACGTTGCAATGTGTGTGGAGAGCCTCTAACCCAGAAATTTTCCTTCTGGAAACCAGGCCTAAAGAAATAAACACCAGATAAAGCTTGAACCCTAAAATGATCACTCCTGTCTCTAGGAAACATGGAAATGATCCAAAGCCCAATAACACTGAAGATTAAAGAAAGGCACAATAATCTATGAAATACCCCCAAGAAGGAAGTACCCCAAAAAACTACTCTCATAAGCTTCACTGTGGTGTAAGATAGACAGCTTGCATTTTACACATTTCTTTTTCCAAGGGTGTATTATAAGTAATTTGACTTCTATAATCACACTAAAAAAAAAATTTGTTTATTCCTACCCCTCACCCAAGCAAGAGGAATATAGAAGCATTCACTGGCAGAGGAGGTGACAAATGACAGCCCTCAAGCAAAAATCTGGCCACCTCCTTATTTTTGTAAATAAAGTTTTATTGCCACACAGCCAGAACCATGTGTGTCCAACTGCCTGTGGCTTGTACAGGGTTCAGTAGTTACCCCTCCCTATCTGAGATATCATTTCCCACTGTCTCAGTTACCCACAGTCAACTGTAATCTGAAAATATTAGATGGAAAATTCCAGAAATAGACAATCCATAAGTTTCCATTTATGTGCTAACCTGAGCAGCATGATGAAGTCTGAAGCTGTCCTTCTCAGTCCCATTGGAGTCATGACTCACCTCTATCCAGCATATCCACGCTGTGGACGCTACCCTCCTAGGAGCCACTGAGGGGCTGATATCAGACTGACCGTCTAGATATCAGTGCTTGTACTCATGTAACCTTTGTTTTACTTGGTAATGGCCGTGGCACAAGAGTGGTGATGCTACCAATTTTACCATACTATATTATAATAATTTTTCATTATTAGTTATGGATATGTATCTCTTACTATGCATAGTTTGCAGATTAAACTTTATCATAGAAATGTATATACAGGAAGAAACACACTTTATATACAGGCTTCCATCATGTCTGTGACTTGGGGATCTTAAAACATCCCTTGAGGATAAAGGAAGACAAGCTTTATTTTTTGGGGGCGGGGGGGCAGCACTGGGGTTTGAACTTAGGGTCTCACACTTGCTAGGCAGGCACTCTACCACTTGAGCCAAACCTACAGTTCATTTTGCTCTGATTATTTTTTTCTTTTTTTGCAGTACTAGGGCTTAAACTCAGGGCCTACGCCTCAAGTCAATCCACCAGCCCTTTCTTGTGATGGGTTTTTCAGAGACAGGGTCTTGTGAACTATTTGTCCAGGCTGGCTTCGAACCTCAATTCTCCTCATCTCTGCCTCCTGAGTAGCTAGGATTACAGGCATGAGCCACTGGCATCCAGCTTAACTATATTCTCAATGGAAATAATAAGGCCTGCAAGTTTTAAAGTATTTAACATCTAAACCTTTACAGAAAAAGTTGCCACCTCCGGGGCTAGTGAATACCCTAGCTACAAGCTCCTCCCTGATGAAGCCGCTTTGAAAATGAGCCATGATAAATGACCTGGAGCCCCAGTATCCATGGCTTACCTTTCTGGCAATGGCTGTGGGTCCAGCATCGCTCCACAAACTGCCCATTGATGACAGTGGCAGGGCAGTTGGTCTTGCCCTTGGCGGTGCCAGGACAGACATCTCCACACTCCTCCTTGTCGTCCTTGTTCAGGACAATATAGTTGTCCTCCACAGAGTCCAGGATGCGAGACCAGTCGATGGTGGCCAAGTAGCACAGCTCATTGTTCTTCTCGATGCGGACAGCACCCCGGGTGATGTTCATCAGGTTGTAGAGCCCCAGCTCCTTCAGGTGAACCATCTCGAAGACCACCAGGGCGTAGTTGAAGAAGAGGCGGGAGCCGCGGATAACCGTGAGGTTGGGGAACAGGTCCCGCAGGCTCTCCAGCCCGTACACTCGGAAGAGCAGCAGGTAGTCAGTGATCATGATGAGCTTGGGGAAGCTGAGGTCTCGGAAGTCCTCGGGTCTCGTCTTGAACATCAGCAGGATCTGCAGGTGTCCCTCGATCACCGAGCAGTTCTCCAGTTCATGCAGCCTGGTGAGGTTGTTCCGAATGTCCATGCCAGGACACACTAGAAGTGACACAAGCGGAAAGGAAGGCCAAGTGAGCAGAGATGAAAAGAAACAGACGCTCCCCAAATTCTGGTGCTTGTGAACAAGGCTGCAGTAGACATGGTGTGCAAATGCGTCCTTCAGATACTGATATACCCTGTCATGGATCATGTGGTCATCCTAATATTTTTTGTTGTTTTTGGAGGCACTAAGGTTTGAACTCAGGGCCTCATGCATGCTAGGCAGGTGCTTTACCATTTGAGCCACTCCACCAGCCCTGTTTTGTCATGGGTTTTTTTCAAGATAAGATCTCATGAACTATTTGCCCAAGCTGGCTTTGAGCTGAAATCCTCCTCCTCTCTACCTCCTGAGTAGCTAGGATTACAGGAGTGAGCCACTGATGCCAGACCTGGTCATTCTATTTTTGGTACTTGGAGGAACCTCAGTACTATCTTTCATGATGGCTACCCAAATTTACATTCCCACTAACAGTGCATAAGAATTCCTCTTTCTTCACAGTCTCACCAGCATATGTATTTCTCTTTTTTTTTTTTTTTTTGGTGGTACTATGGTTTGAACTCAGGGCCTCAGACCTGCCTAGCTCTACCTCTTGAGCCATTCTGGCAGCCTTCTTATGTTTTTGATAACAGCTGTCAATTGAAATGTCTACCAAAGGATGAATGGATAAAGAAAACATGATGTATATACACAGTGAAATACTATTAGGCCATAAAAAAGGATGAGATCCTGTTGTCTGTGACAACATGGAGGACCTAGAGGAGAGAGGTTTGTGACTGCTCTAACCACAAAGAAATAACTGTAGATGGTAACAGAAATGTCAATTATCCCGATTTCATCCTTACACATTGTGCACAAAGGAGAAGAAGGAGAAGAGGAAGGAGGGAAAAGGAGGAGCTGAAGGAGGAGGAGGAAGAGAAGAGGAGGAGGAGGAGACGGGCGTGACAACATCCTGGGCTCTGCACTTCAAATCCCGCACCCTGATGAGTGACTTTCCCTTGCTGTGCCCACAGTAATGACTTCTCTGAAAAGACAAAGAGAATTCCTTTGGCAGGCTGTGTTAGAAGCCTTAGAATCATCTCCTCTCTAATGATGAACTTCCAACAGCAGGCTATAGGGGACCGAGCTCCACGGCCTATGCACAGGGGGATGCAGGGAACAGGGGGACTAGGGAGCCAGCAGGCAAGAGCCTGCAGAAGTAAGTAACTGATGGGGTGAAGGCCCTGCAGCAGACACCTGGAGAGGAAGGCTCAAGTGATTTTTGTCGTGGATTCTATCACCTCCCCAGCTGCCTCTTCTGCCCTCCCTCCCTCCTGGCTGGTAGTCAAGGCCCAACTGCCCTTCACCTGGGTGAGGAAAGAGCTGGCAAGGGATCTGACCCCCACCATTACTGTATGAATGTCCTGCAAGCTCGTGCTCCTCAAGGTGGGGCCTCCTGGGCTCCGACACCCTCCATGACTCCCCAGGATCCCCGACTTCCCTCTCATACATTTGCACCCCTACGTGCCTGAGCCACACTCCATGGCCCTGCCCACCACTCACAACCCCAAGGCTCCTTTCCCCTCTGTCACACAACCTATGAGGGAGAATCAATGACATGTTCCAGGGTAAAAGAACAGGCAGTGCCTGGCACACAGCAGGTGCTCAATTCATGTCAGCGGTGTTAATCATCCCTGCAAACATGGAACAGTCGTCTCTACTCATCTCCAGGCAAAGTCTGTTACCCTTTACTCCCAATTTATTTTATTTTCGTTTTGGTTTTGTTTCTTTTGTTGATGTTGTTGTTCAAGGCAGAGTCTTACTATGTAGACCAGGCTGGCCTCCAACTTGTGATCCTCTGTCTCCTGAGTAGCAGGGACTACAGATGTACACCACTATGCCCAGCCTAGCTCTGTATTTCTAAATGCAGACCATCATCTTAGAAGAGTCAATTCAAACGGCATCTCCTCCAGACAGCCTTCCCTGGTTGCCTTTTCTATTAATATTTATTTGGATATTTCCCTTCTCCTTGTGGCCCTTATGTGTGAGTTAACATTTGCCAAAATCAAACTCTTCAGACAGTCTTCCTACCAACATACACAACCACACACCCACGCGCGCAAGCACACACACACACACACACACACACACACACAAACACAGAGCCCTCAGCACTTGGAATATAAGGCTTAGTAGACAACCAACCCCTACTCATCTTATTTCAAGACACTAAACCTTCACGCACTGGTTTTAAGATAAACAGATTATTCTAGAGAACAGTAGCAAGTCCTCTTTTATATTCACCTTGAAACCAGGAATGGCCTGGTTTCTACTCAGGAGGCAAAGCTGGGAGGATCTAGGTTCAAGGCCAGCCTCGGCAAAACATTAGTGATGTTCCATGTCAGTCAACATGCCAGCATGGTGGCTCTTGTTTGTAAACCCATCTTCTTGGGAGGATCCTAGTCTGAGGTCAGTTAAGGCAAAAAGTTAGCAAGACCCCATCTCAACCAAAAAGCTGGGCATGGTGGCTCACGCCTGTGGGTGCAGCTACTCAGGAGGTGGAGATCAGAAGGATGGCAGTCTGAGGCCAGTCCTGGGCAAAATCAAGAGAGCCTATCCTAAAAATAACTAAAGCAAAAAAGACTGGAGGAGTATCTCAAGTTATAGAGTGCCTGCCTAGCAAGTGTGAGGTCCTGGGCTCAAACCCCAGTACTGAAAAAAAAAAAAAAAACAACTCATGTTTATATGATATTTATATTTACCTGGATGTCTCATTTCTATGTGGTATCCACACCTGAAGGCTTCTCAAACCTGAATTTACTTCAAAACCGTATGTCTCACACACACACACACACACAGATGAGGGGAACACCTGTCCACCATCCTCCCAGGATATAGAAGAACCAAAATCAGACATGAAAGTCCATTCAGAGATTAACCGACCATAGGAAATGGGGGTGCCAACCACAATGAGACAGACATCACCTCCCACCATGATGGATACAATCAGAAAGTCAGACAACAACCAGAGTTGAAATGGATGCAGAGACCTCAGCCTTCATAGATGATGATGGCGGGACATAAAATGGCGTAGCCCGTGATACAGAGATTTGCCTGTAGGATACAGCCATCACACTCCTAGGCAACCAACCAATCCAAGAGAAACGAAAAACACACATCCGCAAGTCAGACATGAAAGTCCCATTCAGAGATTAACCGACCATAGGAAATGGGGGTGCCAACCACAATGAGACAGACATCACCTCCCACCATGATGGATACAATCAGAAAGTCAGACAACAACCAGAGTTGAAATGGATGCAGAGACCTCAGCCTTCATAGATGACTGATGGGGGACATAAAATGGCGTAGCCGTGATACAGAGATTTGCTGTAGGATACAGCCATCACACTCCTAGCAACCAACCAATCCAAGAGAAACGAAAACACACATCCGCAAGAGAACCTATCTGCCCTTGTCCACGGCAGTGCTTTTCCTAATAGCCAAAAAGGCAAACTACCCAAATAGCCAAAAAGACAAACAGAACGTGCATAACAACTATACCAAGAAAGATTATTCAGCCATGAAAAAGGAACTAAGTTCTGACACACGCTACAACATGGAGGAACCCTGAAAATATCATGCTCCATGGGAAAGAAGCAGACACAAAAGGTCACGAAGTGTGTGAAGGTCACGAAGGGTGTGTTTCTGTTTATATAAAATGTCCACAACAGGCAAAGCCACAGAGACAGGCAGGGGATGGGGGCCGATGCAGTCTAACGCCGACCGTGGCGTCGCAACTCCGTGAGGACACCGAAACCGCTCAGTCACATGCCTCCATCGCGACAGCGGCACGGCGTGAAAACAGCTCACTCAGGTTTCCATGAAGACGAAGAGGCTGTCGTGGCAGCGGACGGTAAGGAGCTGCTTCGCCTGTCTGCTCCCCCGGTGAGTCTGTCTTACCTCACGACCCCCTGCGCGTCTCCACGAGGGACGCCCGGCTTCCCGAGGACGCCCTGTTCTTAACAAGAAGCGCCTACTACGTGCACGTGGACACACACGTGATCACATGTACGGGGCGGGGGGCGGGGGGCGGGGGGCGGGGAGGGCAGAGACAGAAACGCAGAGCCAGGAAGGGGTCGTCGCCGATTCCTCACGGCAAACACTCAGCGGATTCCTGGTCCGTCCCGATACTGGCCCGGGTCCCGGAAGTACACTCGCCGTCTCTCCCCGTGGAGATTGGTTCCAGGACTCACCTCCGACTCCAAAAATCCAAGGACGCTCAAGTCCCCTTTAAATGGATGGAACTGGAGAACATCAGCCTGAGCAAGGTCAGCCAGGCTCAGAAGACCAAAAATCGTATGTTCTCGCTCATATGCGGACTTTAGATCTAGGGCAAATACAGCAATGTGGTTGGACTAAGGGGAGAGCACATATGGCAGGAATGGGGATAGGTACGAAACCCAAAACTTGCAAGTGTTTGATGTCCTCAATGCAGAGGAGCTAATACAGTAAACTTAAAATGACAGAGGTCAATATGGGAAGGTCATCCGGAGCTAGTGAAAAGGTCAGGTAGAGATGAATCAATTCGGGTTGTAACACATTTGTACATGAAAGCAATGCTAGGAATCTCTCTGTATAGCTATCCTTATCTCAACTAGCAAAAACGCTTTGTCTTTCTTATTATGATTATGTCTTCTCCTCAACAAAATTAGAGATAAGGGCAGAACAGGTTCTGCCTGGAAGCGAGGGGGGGTGGGGGAAGAGAGAGGGGGCAAGGGTGGGGGGGGTAGAAATAGCCCAATGTATGCACATGCGAATAAATGAACAAATTTTTTTAAATGGCCTGGTATTTGCATAGAACACACTCTCTTTGTCCTCCTGTAGACTTTAAACCACCTCTAAGTGACTTACAATACCTAATCTAATGTAAATGCCATGTAAATAATTGTTACACTGGTGAATAATGTCAAGGGGGAAAAAAAGTTCTTAATAGGTGCAGTACAGATGCAATTATTTTTTT